CGTTCTGGACTTCTGGTCCGTCCGTTCCAGACCCTTCCGTCTTGGTTTTTCGGTCGTTTTCTCATGCGTTTCGTCCTTCCCTGCGTGTGTGACCCTGTAGGCTCATTCGATATAGCAGTATAACCCGAAATCTCTATTCCGGATATACAAGTCATAGGCGGTCTCTAGCAAGACACTATGACTACCTATCTCGAATAGAGTTTGTTCATGATCTTACGGACGCCAGTGATGATTCCGGTTGATGATCCTTTTGTATCGCGATATCATATTTCGAATATAAGGCATGGACAAGCCACCTTATCAGGTTCGACTGCTTTCTCGTTCACTGAGTTTGACTGTCTGAAATAGACGACGTTCGTCTATAGTGCGGCCACACATTTCTACAGTCTTGCTCACACGAGGGGCCCAGCGATATCTCTATCTTTTACGAGAGGTACAAATCCCGTCTTGACTATCTACAATCCAGTACATGATTCGTTTCGTACCTGATACACGCCTTTATAGTCCTCCTGTTACGCAGGACGTTTGACGTATTCAAAGCACGCAACTCCTCATGTTGGATTCTGTAGATATCTCAGGTCTTAGGATCCAATAATGAAACCGCCATATGAGATTCAAGTCATGATGCTAGTCCATGTGACAATCTCATGCGGGTCAATCCAGTATTCCGTTCTCCAACGAATACCTATGACTGTGATCGTATCCAATACCTATGATCATATCTATAATCATCAATCACACATCATACTAGTCTTATTATGTCATCATTCCCATAACGGTACAAGACTAGGGAGTTTAGTATCATTCATAATGATACATGGATTTCTTAACAGATCTAGTATGCAAGAACATATAATGAATCAAATACTCTCATAAAAACCATAGAAAATATCAATACATCAAATGTATCTGAACAAAGCTCATAGACAGTATATAATAGAATACTAAACCAACACGGTCATGCTAACGACCTTAAACAAGCGCTTCCGGGAGGCAACCCGAGTTCTTAGGTTAGTTTTTCTTCCCTTTCTTTTTCTTTTTGCATAAGATATTGGTTTGTGTCTCTTATCTCCAGGTTGAGTTCTAATGAGGAGCTGTCGAGGAGGCAAGGAAGCTAGCTATGCGATAGACGTAGGCAGACTTAAGTGCGAGTGAACGAACGTCACGAGCTAAGTATTCTTTTCTCTTTTTGATTTACTTCTCTCTTGACTCATCTTATTGGTTGCCTCTACTAGATGAGAATTGACACCAAGGACAGTGTCTAGTTTAAGTATGGGGGAGGATTCGTCTAACACCAAACCATGAATTCACCTCTACGATCACTTCATCAGCCTTCAAAATGAATCACACATAAACATTAAGCAATCGACAGATTCAAGATTCAAGTTCATCAACCCATTATGACATAAATGTGAAAATATGTAGGAAGAACAGATAACACAAGATACCCAATGTTAAAAACCAAGATCTCATAAGATCAAGTTGAATGAATCCTTGAGAAATCTGATCAGATACTAGCAAAATCAAAATCGGATCTTTCAGCCTAAGTCATATTAGCGATAAAACCAGAAATCGCAGAGAAGAACCATATTACCTTGGTCTTGAAATCGACCTGATTCAGAGGAGCTCCATAGGAACTCTCCAAGAGCTCCTTGAACGAAGGTTCGAACACAAGAGACTGTTCGTACCAGACGCCATTCGCCAACGAGATCTCCGGGCCTCCGGAGGCGCTGCAATCGGCGAGAACGACGGAGATAATCTCGGCGGCGACGGTGTTGAGCTCGTCGACGGAAGAAGCGTTGAGGAAAGAGACGATCTTATCCGGGGCCGATCAAGTCGGCGGCGACGACACTGAGGACGACGGTTATCGACGCCGGCGATATGACGGCATTGGAGTCTTTGGAAGCGGTGGCGAAGACATGCCTCGCAAGACTAAGGACAGCGCCGTTTTGATTCTCGATCGATTTTTTGAATGCGAAGCCCATTTTTGCGGCGGCGATTTTCGACAATTTTTTATTAGTTTATAAAATACCTTATACCTAAACGTTTTCCTTTATATAATCCGTTTAGTTTCCCATTCATAAAGGAAATAAATCAAAATTCAATAAACGTATCATTATTGTTTCCATATTTGTTTTCTATTTCTGAGTTTGTTGCTATTTGGGTAAATTATATTTACTTTACTTTCTTTATATTTTAAATATTTTTAATATTACGAGAAAACACAACAATCGTAATTTGTTTTAAGAGATCTATTTAAAATTCTAACTATATACAAATACGAATAATCTTCAAATCTTTACAAAATCGAAAAAACTTAATTATTAAAAACATCTATTTAAAATTTTAACCATCACAAATTCAAATCAAACATACAAATTATAAAATGATCTTAAATTCTTTAAATATATAAATTTATTTATTTTCAACTTAATTAATTTTTTTTCACTAATTTAATTTTTTTTTAAATCATAATAGTTTAATGTTATAAATATATTATTTCTTCAATTTAGGATTGACATAATAAAAAATAAATATTTTTTATATTTTCATAGAAAAAGATCGTATTTGTTTGAATTTGTGTATATTTATATATTATAAATATATTTAAAAATTAATATATTTTTAATCTCATTCGGCAATTTTTTTATTTGGTTTATAAAATACCTTTTATCTAAAACTTTTCCTTTGTATAATCCGTTGAATTTTCAAATCATAAAGGAAATAAATCAAAATTCAATAAAGGTATTATTATTGTTTCCATATTTCTTTTGTATTTTCGAGTTTGTTGCTATTTGGTTAAATTATATTTACTTTATTTTCTTTGTATTTTTAGTTATGGGTGAACATGATTCGATCTGTACAAATGTATAATTTGTTGGGGACGGCGGTTGTTGACGATAGCAAAACTCCGCCAATTCGAGCGATTCCAAATAAGTACCTGAAATTAAAAGAATATTTTGTCGAGGCCTGTGAAACACAGTTTCCTTAAGTTCGATTTCCATACCACCTCTAAAGCTTCGAGGCTATTGGAACACGGTGAACTCTCAGGATACAACGACCGCGTATTTGGAAGAAGCTTTCCAAATACCAAGCGAACTCAGAGAGAGATATGAGCAAATATGTGAATACTATTTTTTCTCTAGAATACTTGTTTTTTTTCTGTGTGATTTATGAGCTAACCCAAGACCCCTATTTATAGTAGAGGGGAGAATCTCAAAATAAATCAATTTGAATTTCAAAATTCAAATTTGATTTTATCTTGATATTATCTCAATCTTATCTTAATCATATTCGATAGATTTTTTGCGGATTTGAATCCAATTTGAATTTCAAATTCAAACAAGAATATTCTCTTGATAAGAATATTCTCTTGATATTCTGCAGATTTAAAACTTTCCACTGACCGGGTTTCTTACGGGCTAGGTCCGTTTTGATTCTATCAAATAAATCCAAATCCAACAATCCCCCACAAGAATTAAAATAGGGCATTGAGTTAGGTGAACCTAAATGCATCTCGTGCAACTAATGCATTATATGCAAATGATGTGCAATGCAAAATTTACTCATCGAGAGTTTAACTGTATCCGGAAAGGTAGTTTTACCTTTGAACCTTCCGTAGTGAAATACTATCGGATGTACTTGCTAAATAGTGAACGCGATGTCTTGAACTATTCAGCTTTTGTATACACCAAGACAACAGTACTCACGCAGCACCCCCTCTCTCTCTCATTAGTCCATTTGTTGCGCCCATTATGGTCCTAGGACAGCACCTGGTAGATTTCATCAAATACTCTAGAGAACTAGCCCTTTTGTCATTATCATAGAAGTGGTCCACTTCATATTTGATATAGAAGATTTCTCTTTGAGAGTATCTCAATATACTCCACTCTTGTAGGAGATAAGAGAATCTTTAGGAGCATAAACTCAACCTTCCCAATTTGTATCACTCTTATCATAGGAATGTGAAGAGACATCGGTCTCGAGTGATCCCATCGACCCCCCCACAATTCGGTTATCCCATTGAACCTAATACTGGTGGTTTGTCCAGATAGGTTGGGTTGCCATCATGGTGTTTTGTCATTCTATGGGCTTTAATCTCATTCCCCTCGATAATATTTCTACCTGATCTCTGTTAAGGCCTTTGCTCAGAGGATCAGCCAAATTATCTTTTGATCTCACAAAATCAATAGATACGACACCATCTGTTAGTAATTTTTTAACGGAGTTGTGTCGTCTGCGGATGTGTCGCGACTTTCCCTTATAAACATGGTATTTTGCCCTTCCTATTGCAGGCTGACTATCACAATGTATGCAAATTCCAGACACCGGTTTAGGCCATATAGGAATATTCTCAAGAAAGTTTTGAAGCCACTCAGCTCTTTCACCAGCAAGGTCTAAAGCTATGAATTCAGATTCCATAGTGGATCTTGCAACACACGTTTGTTTAGAGGATTTCTACGAAATAGCACCTCCACCAACAACGAATATATATCCACTTGTGGATTTATTCTCATTCGTATCTGAGATCCAGTTCGCATCAGAATATCCTTCTAATACTGTTGGATATCTTGTATAGTGCAGTCCATAATTCTCAGTATACCTTAGATATCTAAGGAGTCTAATTATGGTCTTCCAATGATCACAACTTGGATTGCTCGTATATTTGCTAAGCCTATTGACGGTATTAGCAATATCCAGCCTTGTGCTATTCATAAGATGCATTAAGCTTCCTATGACTCTGGAATATTCTAATTGTTGAACTCTCTCACCGTGATATTTTTTCAAATGAGAATTAATATCAGTTGGAGTTCTGGCCTCAGAATTTCCACCATTGTCAAATCTCTCTAAGATTTGTTTTATATAGTGACTTTGGGATAACGCATAACCATCTTGTGTCTTGATAATTCTCATACCAAGTATTACATATGCTATTCCCAAGTCTTTCATGTCAAAGTAATTTGATAACATGGTTTTCGTAGATTTAATCACTTTATCACTACTACCAGTGATGATCTTATCATCTACGTAAAGACAGATAATCACAAATTCTGTCTCGTTACCTTTGACATATATGCACTTGTCAACCTCGTTGACTCGAAATCCATTTGATAGCATTACGTTATCCGAAGCTCGAACGAGGGACTTGAAGCGGAGCAAGGAGCGGAGCTCGGAGCTTTGGAGAACGTTGCTCGATCGGCCGAACACTTGGCGTCTCTTTCGACCGATCGCCACTTGCCGACGCATGCGGACGTACCATCTTCACTACGGACGTCCGACCCCGTCAACGTACTTCACGGACTAGCCACGAGAGCACCGCGAGCACCACACCAGGCCGAGCCCCCACTTACTCGTGCCAAAGCCCGGGCTCTTCGCCACACACTTATGTCCGACTTGGAGCTTCACGTTGACGGGACACAGAGCCTTGACACGTCATTTCCGAGCGACGCAAATCTCAAGTCTTGGAATGTCTTTACGTGTCTATTCACGGAGCCAACGTTACAAGACTAAATGGGCCGGAAAATGGGCTGCACAACTTGAGGCCCAACAGTCACATTTTCCATTCAAAATTATCATTAAGTCTTAGGCTCCACATGGGTTGCATGTTAAGCAACATTAAATGCTTGTCTTTTACCTAAGTTCTATTTATTCCCTTGTAAACTTCAAACAAAGGTTACGTTTTTTTTCAGAAATCAGAATTCTCTTTGGTAAATTGCCATTGTTGAGGTTGAGCTATCTCCCTCCTTCTCGCCGACGGTGTGTCCGTTAGCTTAAGGCTCGGTGTGTCCGGCCTTACCCCGGCTTCGGTGTGTCCGAGCCAACCCCTTGGTGTGTCCGAGGTTTATTCTTCGTGTCTCCATCCACTCCTCCGCTGTCCAACGTCGTCCTCTCCATCGAACATCCCTTCCACCATCACCTTCCATCGGTTTCTCTCATAAACCGAAATTATCCCTCTTCCGACACCGCCTTCGGAAGTTCCAGCCCTCGTTGAAAGTCGAGAGCCTTCTCCGTGAAGGGCGAGAGACTGCAGCCGAGATCAATTCCATCCATACGAGGCTGTGCTCATATCATTTTGGTATCAGAGCCAAGTCGAGCCAAACGGACGCATAAACCCGGTGAGATCACTCCTTGATCATTACTTTCGGTTTTGTTTACAATTGGACTGTTTTATTTGGCTACTTTCACTTGCGTGTTGTCTGTGATTTTGACAGCCCTCACACTCCCTCTTCGAAGTCCGCTCGCCCCCAAATCACGGCTGCAAAGATCGCCCGCTAACCCCCACGGTGAATTCTTTCCAACTTAGCAAATACTAGGGCGTTTTACGTGTTTTACGTTTCTGTTTTGTTGTGCCGTGTTTGCTGCGTGTTTAGTGAGTATAAAGCGGTCTAATTCCATTACATAGAACCTTAGGGTGAGGTGTGATAGGGTGATTCAAATCTGATCAGTTGTTGCATCAAAGAAACTTGCACGCTCTGCTATAGCATCCCATCATTGTGCACGTCGCATCACTTCTCGTTGTCACTCGTGTCCGATCTGTGTACAACCTACCTTGAGCACGTTTAAAATTTCTTGATCATTGCCTCATCATCCCCTGTTTGGTTGCTTAATCTTGCACGTTAACATCTTAGTTCGAAGCACGAATTTGATTCACTCGTTTCGCACGACATCTAGGACTGTTTTGTGTTGTTGCGTTGACCTTGTTCTTTGTGATAGTTTGAGTGACTCAATCGATTTTTTTTGCTTACTGTTTGACACGTCTCTGTGAGCACGTGACTTATCCTGCATCATACAGCACTCACCTTAGTCATTCGCACGTTATAGGGCACTTG